GCGTAAGCCATCCGTGGGATCACTCAGCGGCGTGCGTTCATCTCTGTCGGCCGATGCGACGGGCGCACACAAAAACCCGCCTGCGAGCTACTGTTTATGACCGCGGGCGTCGACAGTAGCCGGAGGGCACACCAGACACCCACCCCGACCCCGCCGGGAGCCCCCACCGCCCAAACCCGAGCCGTGCGCGCCTGACACGGGCGACGAGAGAGGCGCCCACTCATGACCGACACAGTGTATGCATACGGGTATACTGAGCTCGGTAAATGTGCGCGCCGAGTTTAGAAGGCCGGTAAACGTCGGCTAGAATAGAGGATTAGATGAGTATGACGGCGAAACCCCATGTTGAATCACTGGCAAACGTGTTGTCACGCCGCGCCAGATTTAATCGTTTACTAATGTTCATTGGTTTTGTGAGGACTTCTCGGACGTTTTCATACGGGCGTTTCATACAGAGCACCAGCTATCGAAACTCAAGAAGAACGACTCGGTAACAAATCTGGATTTATCACGCTTATTTGCCCGCAGGTGGCACCACTAGCCCATGACCGGGCGAGAAACGTTCCTGATTATTGCTCGTCCATCATAAGATCGTAAATTAGGCGACATTAGATGCATCCCTAGAGCAAGGTCGCATCATAATTTACTGTTTATAGAAACAGCGAGCAGCATAAGGCAGATGCGAGAGAAATATCGGCTGGCTGACGGTGGTCAGCCAGTCTGAACGGCCTCTATGACAAATGCTGACTTGAACGAACGTCTGTGGGCTGCATGGGCAAAATGGGCATCTACTACAAACAACGGACTGGGCATTGACCCTTTGACGGAGGCCTGACTGGACGGGCCCCAATAGCGGACTCGGGAATGGACTGGACGGGCCTCTATGACAGACGCAGGACTGGAATGGACTGGACAGAGCCTCGGACGGAGGCCACTAAACGCCGCCGGACAACTTGCAAAACACATCATTACCATCACGTTATGCAAATGGAATGGTTTTCTAATGGGCCCCCGCCGGTCTGCCGGTGCGGGTGTCGGTGCTCGGCAATCAATTAGAGTTTTATTAGTCGGCGCGAGCGTCGGCCGGCGAGCGGCGGAGCTGGTAAACAAACACCACCACCCGCTGTGGGAACGGCGGCCAGGAAACTGACACCTGTCCGGAGCCGGAGCCGGGGCCGGAGCCGGAGCCGGAGCGTGGGTCCGGACTGCCCGGTCCCGGAACTACCCGCGCCGCCCCCCGCGTGCCAGCCAAAGCGCCGGCCACGCACTACCCGCAAAGGAGTCCAGCGTCGGCGGCCACCTGGGTACTGGGTAGGTTACGTGTCATGGCCATGGAAGATCGCGGTAAGATTTCTGAGATTTGGGGTAAAATTGCAGCTTATATTTTTCAAACACCCAAAAGGCAAAAGGAGTGAGCTAATCCAGTCATAATCAGCGCGATAATGTCAATTACGTTGTCAATTAAGTGGCTTATCCTTTGGTGTTGAGTTCATGAAAAGTACCCGGTCGCGATCACAGCGCGGACAATCAACGCCGACAATTTAGAGGTGAACCTTTCATAAACTGATTAATAACTCGTATGAATGAATGGCATAAAATAAGGTTAAAGATGTAGTAATGACTTGTTCAGCTGTCATTTATACGGACACTATAGCTCTATTGGACACTATAGGGTATTTATTTGATGTTTAAAGTCATCCGAGCAATGTGCATTGTGAATGCCTATCTACATAGAATGCATTCCTTTCTGTCAAATGTTCTCTAAATTATTTCGATTGCTTCATTTAACGCAGTGGTCGGCAGGTCATTCGGGGTCGTGCCTCCTTTTTGGGCGCCAGGCAGGGCCATTACCCCCACCTACCAGACCCCATTGCTGACACAACCAAGTTTACTGAAATTCCATACCGTCCTGGAACTCTTTGGGTATTTGTGCATTTCCAATGCATCAAGTTTAAAACATGACACTTCCTCCACAAAACATTTAATGCCTATATCCCACTAGCGGCAGAACACCTTAAATAAGGGGGAGGGGAGGGGGGGGGGGCACTGCTGACTTTTGGTCCCATTCTTTCCATGCAACGCCCATAGGGCTTGTTACAGTTTACGTCTGTTACTGTCCGGTGAAGGAGCCCGCTGGGATACTGCGCGGGATTTGTATGGGAAATGTATTTAGGTCAATGGATGGCTGTGAATGAGGGTGGAAGTGGGGGATGGGGGTGAGATTGCTGTGATGATAATACGGTGATTCACTACATAAATGGCTAAATGAACTTTAAGTTGATTTACTCCGCGAATTACGTCGAAATACGATTCAATGTAAAGTAACGCGACCGTTCTTGCTACAGGGCTAATGTTAAAATGCAAAAATCAAAGGGTGCACGGTGCCCCGGTGCCCTCCCCGTTCCGCCGCCTATGCTATATCCCATTTAACCCTTGTGCGTATAGGGGCGGCGGGTGGTTTTTCGTTAAAAGCTTACGTAAAAGGCATTGGATCACGACCAAATTGTACCCTCGAGCCCATCATATTTTTTTACCAACCCGGAAAATATCATGACCTGAGACCAGTTTTACCAACAGAAAAATAACCGCCTGCCGGAATTTTTGCCTCAAGACCGCTTCACATACGGAGCGTAAACGCGATGGGCTCGTAAGCGGATAGGGCTGTACCGTTTACGCTCCATATGTGAAACGATCTTTAGGCAAAAATTCCGGCACGCGGCTATTTTTCTGTTGGTAAAACTGGCCTCTGGACCCATAACGACCGTTGGCTTATGAGCTTTTTCTGGAGATCATCTTGAGCCATAAACTCTCACTTCAAGGAGTTAAAGCGGGTCCCGATTTTCTCGACACTTGTCATTGCCCTCTTGAATGAGACGGAATGACCAAGGACCTTAAAAATGGGCAGCAGCGGCTTCCTATTGTCATGGGTAGCACGCTCGTCTTTTTTATGCACAGCTCCATATCAGAGTCCGAGAGGCCGCGGGGGTCCGATCGACTCCTCCCCCTTACGTTAGCGGCTGTTGAAACGCCAACAGACGGGCGACGGTCAAAAGTTGCAGCTGCTTTTGTACGACTGTACGGAGGGGTGAGATGGTGAGGCGAGCAGGTACGTGAAAATTGGTATCTAATCAATGTGTGCTGACTGCTGTGCCTTTGGCCTGGGCTAATCTTTGAACCCTGGGATGCACCAGTCACGATGGCTCCATCACTGGAGCTACAAACTCTAAAAAGATAGGCTTTCTCAGAATCCCTCATTACCCCCACCGAAAGGGCTCCATTACCCCCAAAGGGGGCATGCCCCACCATTTGCCGACCCCTGATTTAACGGATATCTTACTTTCGAATATCGCGCCTATCATATCGTCCATTGAAAGGATAGCGTGCTCAAACTGTCAGTGAGCATATCATCGTGGATGCACGGTGAGACGATACGATCTTAACAGCCATCGATGAACCCCTCCGTCATAACCAAAGCTATGTATAGTAAGGCAATAAAATTGATCAGCATTCCCTACTGGATGGGCAGAGCATTAAGACGTACAGAGGAGCTGCGACCGTCGGCCCTGAGAAATCTCTCCTCCCCTGCCCAATGACAGCCCGTGAACAAAAAGAACCGACCGACACCGCTGTGGTGTCGCGGGTCAGACACCCCGACCCACTCCGGTCGGTGACAGGAGAGATAAACGGTCCGACACGGCGCGCTTGTAGGCCACGTCATGTCCCGTCACTGCTGATGGCGCGTCACACGACGTCATGACAACACGTCACGGCCCGGTGTCGAGGGCTGACAGGGTGGCTAGAAAGGGTTGCGACGTCTTGAGAGGCAGACTTGTGTTTTTGTATTATATTTTCTTCTTTTTCTTCAGGGAAGTATTGTGACTGCTTGCTGTTAAAGCTTGAAATCATATGACGGTTTGGGTTTGAAGTTAGCAATTTCCTCATTATACTTAAAAAAAAAAATACCTATGTGTTTAACTGATAGTTTTGAGTTATTCTAACAGATCACAGGCAGATGTGACAGATGACAAATAAATGCGACATATGACTGATTGCTGTGACATGACAGAAACCTGTGACATATGACGGATGGGTATGATAGATGGCAGAATGGTTTGACAGATCTGTGACACGATAAATGACGGATTGGCGTGTGACGTATGACCGGGTTCGGGGTCTCTCTAAGATGACCGGGCAGGTTTTAAAAGGGGTCATAGAGATGACAGTTTCAAAAAGTATTTCCTTAATGTAAAGTGTCACGTGATTAACCTGAACCCGCACGGCGACTACGCGAGAGAAACCATTCAGAGTTTACCGTAACGTGATTGTTTTTATGTAACTCCCAATTACCGGTACAAAATGCTGACAGCGCTTAGCGCGGGAAACCGGTCACAAGTGCGATCCCGCAGGGACGTTTTCATGGAGCAACGAATAGCACGGGGGAGACACGAGAGGCTTCCCGTTCTCTTCACCCCAGGGCATAATGTCTGGCACCTGCACTACCCTTACACGGCGAAATTATTTAAAATGAGCCATGGAATAATTTATTGGCCAGTAAATTGCATTTACGCTTCCAGTTGTCATTTATGCATTGCCGCATCCTACCTTTAATTGAATCTTATCTGGACACGCGGATTAACCGTACAAATTTATTGGCGAGTCTAAATCTGTTAAATTAGCCGGCAGCCATAAAAGCAAAATTGTGAAGGCCGGAGCGCAGAATGTCCCATGTTTTTCAACTTTGACTGTTTTATTCGTTTCTTTTTATCCGAATAAATAATTTGTGATAGCATTTGCTTTTCTTGGACAAAAGCTTTATTGTTGCGGAATAAATAATATCTAAATACGGAAACATGATTACCTATTTAATTCAAATTATAACCAAACCAGATGGGTAAACACAGTGGATACACTTCGAGATCGGTGTCCACGGGTTTTTCCCTTCCATCTCCTTCCCCCTTCCTTTCTACCTCTCCCTCCCCTCTTCCCCTCGGTGCACTCACCTCTCTGCAGGGTGTATCTGAACACGTTGTGCTCCCTCTCCGTGGACGTGGTGCAGTTCCACCGTTCGTTGCGGAACTGCCACTGGCACTCTTGAATTCCCTTTCTAGCGCCATTCGACACGGAGGGGATGGCGTTCGGGTGAGTTTGGCACACCTACCGACACACAAATAACCTCATATGCATAGGGACGGGAGGACGGGGGAGCCAGTCGGCCGGCGGCGACTGCTGACAATGCCGGCCGGGGGTCAGGTTTGTTCCACACCACCGAGCCGGCGCGACAGAGGGGTCCCCGACACATCGCCACCCGTGCCAAACAGTGCCCGGATATATAACTATCTTCACGCAACTGATCAGGGGTGTATGGGGAGGGATCATGTCATCGATGGGATGCGTCAGACAGTGAGGAATATTCCAACATACCTAATGACGAAATTTCAAGTTACCTTCACGTGTAATTTGTGTCTTGCTTTCTACAAAACGACAAAAAAAGACTTGAGCGACAATAAATCAAGAAGGGCTCGCAACTGAAATGTCATCAATAAAAACAAAGTTTTAAGTCTCATGGCCCTAGTTCAACAACAATTCCGGTGCAGAAACACATCCTCATTGGTTATCCATATGAACTGACCTCTATTTGTCGTGCCACCAGGCCGGGCAGGGCGGCACAGTGTGTGTACGGTGTGAACTGACCTCTATTTGTCGTGCCACCAGGCCGGGCAGGGCGGCACAGATGGAGCGCGCGTGGTCCTCCGGTGTGGCCGAATAGGGCTGGTCAGAGGACATCTGAGGCCCTCGATGGACGGATCCCAGCATACCCAGATACCTGCGGCACACGAAGGAAATGTCTCTGTTAGTGGCGGCACTCTAAAAACGGGGGAGTCTCAGTCGGTGGAACAATCACAGGACAGCCGTGTTCGTCAGCAGCACATTTACAGGACGAAAGCGTCTCGAGTACTGGCACATTTGCAGGAAGCCTCGCTGGTTGCATTTACGGACGGCAATGCTTGTCAGAGGTACATTTATGGGACGAGAGTCTCACTCTGCGGCGCATTTGTGTTGCAGGACGGTGCAGCGTTTCGGTCAGTGACACATTTATTTTACAGGCAGGACTGTATCGATACCGCAAGGCGTTAGCAAAGACAATGCAGCAGCGGAGGCTGACACTATATCTCTCTCCCTCTCCCTTTCCCTCCCAGCCTGCCTCCCTCCATACTCCCTCCCTTTCTTTCTCTCGTCCTCTCTCCTGTTTCTCTCGCTCCATCTGAGTGGTGCCAGTGCCGTCTCTCCCTCGCCAGCGCTCCCTGTCCCCGGACATGGCAGACATCTGATCCCGACTGGTGCCGGTCCCTTGGCGCGCACAAACCTCCTATCGCACACACACCACCTACACCAGATTTCAATTACAGATACCGGGGCCCATTTCCAGCGTTATTATGGGTTTACGATCCCAATTTGGAATGCAGATGACTGGCGATCGACGGCCGAACCCCGGCGCTGTCCCACGTTCCCGGCTGATCCCGATTCTCCTCACAATGGCTAATTGGGCGTATATCCTCGGCGACGACGCCGCGGGCCTTCACAGACGGAGAAAACCGACCACTTGAGAGACAGAGATCGAGACGACAGCGGTTCCTTTCCTACACAGGCGCACGGCCTGTTGGCTGTTACTAGCGACAGGCAATGAAAGACGATGGCTGGGATGAATAGACAAGACAAGGATGGCAGACCGGCAACGTCAAGGTGGATCTGCATATACATTATACAAGAATGTCGTGTTATTTTTCAACAATGTCAGCCCGTATTAGACGGCAGCTCTATCTGGACGAAGGAGTGCTTACTGGTGTCGGAGATGTGTACTCCGTCTTCGAGACAGCCCACGGGGACTGAAGACAATCCGTCACTGTCTACGTTCAGCCAACCGGTGTTGGCGTCTTTAAAAACAACAGCTCACGATCTACGATCGTCATTGCGTCATGTTGCACCGAGAATCCCGGCAAATCCTGACGTGTGTGCACGATGCAGCACGATTGAGCGGTCGGCCAAAAGATGCTGCAGAAAACGGCGGTAGTTACATTTGGACACGGCAACAGCAGGCAGCCGCGGCTGTCGGGTCGTCTTGCTTACTCCGGCCGGAGCCAATAACCTCGCACGAGGGAGTCGGGTAAGATCAAGATGATTTAGCAAAACGTATTTTCTCTAGGTAGATGTTGTTCGATGAGATGCAGGAGCATCATTTTATGAAGAGATAAAAGGTTATGCTACAAGACCCAAGATGTTCACGCAGCGCTTTGCAAGACATATTTATTAATCGGCTAAAAAAAATATATTGTCAGGAAAACATCACATTCAAATGGTTAGGAGCAAGTGCCACTTTTGCAATGAATGCGAGCGACACTACTGGAAGGGGACCCAAACCACCTGGCACCTGAGACAGATATTATATGTGGGCGCAATATCACACACCTGTCTCTTGAGACAAGTATGAATGCGCTTAAGTACGTTCGTATGTTTCGTTCAGAGGAGCAATGATCACGGCACGCTTCAAGGTCAGAAACGTGACCAGAGGATATGCACGACCATGCTGAACTTGGTCGCTGTTACTGAACACCATCAATAGTGCACGAAAATAGTCGCCGGTGGTCATCGTGGGTCAACGAAGCAAAGGTCAACACAGGTCAGTGGCGGTCATTTACATTACATGCAGTGGCCGACATTTACATTAAGCTAACCGGAAGAGGTTGACTGTGTCTGGAGGCCACTTAAGGTCAACGCTGGCGACTTGAAATGAGGAACGACACCGGAAGACCTAAATGATCGACAAGACGGGGACATGTAAATTCCATATTTATTACATGTCTGGCCGTCGTCTGTCAGACACTTCCTTCCGTGTTGTTTGAGCCAACTGGTTCTCTCCTGTTTCTTATCAGCAACCCAAAGACGAGCGTCATGGCCTTCCATTCCAGCTCCCCAGTCTCTCGCTGAGCGAGATCTCGGCGTCCCGGGGGCCAGGACACGTCCTCCGCGGCAGGGCGACCCATTGTACAGCCCATCGGACCGGTCAAACGGCCTCGATGGACCATTACTCGGTGCTCGACCGGCGGCCGGTAAGAGGTTCACATCTGCAGCCGCTCGATCTGGTGTACGATTGCCGATATTGGGTGATAAACACCTACGACAGCAGCTGCGGGCCGATCGGGGCCGGAGGCGCGCTCCCTGCAAGGAGACACGGTGCAGTCTGCGCTGCGCCACCGGATAAGATGCCACGGCGGCGGGCGATATGAATAAATTGCACTCCGCGGGAAGCAAGATATGCCGCCGATACGTCAGCCGAGACTGTGACGGCCTTTCAGCGTGCGTCAGCGTGTCAGGAGAAAGCCGTTGTTCTGGAAAGATGGATAATAAATGGTGGTCGAGCCGTTGTCATCGGTCAAGGTGCAGCGTCCGGCTAAGTCCATGCGTCTCTGCCAGTCTGAAAGAACTGCCACTGTCGCTCCTCTGAGTGGACAGCCAGCTCCTGTCGCCCATTTGAAGCAGAGGGCCCTGTCCGTCTGAACGATATGCCCCTTCCTTTGGATAGCTCCTGTCGCCTCTCTGGACTCCTATGGCCTAAGCCTTTCTAAATAAAATGAGACCCCGTCGAACAGATCATACCCTCTAAAGAGACAGTCCCTTCCCCTGTCAGCTCCTGTCATCTTTCTGTTTAGACAGCTGCCACCTGACAGTGCCTGTAGCCTGGCAGCCCATGCCGTCGGGCAGTCCCTGCCGCCTGTCAGAATGGAATCGTGACCGATATCTCAGGTCCGTCATACACCCCCGGACCGCCACGATAGGTGGTCCATTCCAGTCATACTCTCAAGGAAACCGACTGGAGGCACCCGGGTGATTTCGTGCACGATTGGACTCGGGGGAGGAGTCGGAACAGGCGGTTACAACTCTGCTTGGAATATCTAGATTTGCAGCACGTGTTCTGCAGGAAGCTCGAACTCACGTATGGATGTGGTTCAGCAAAAGATCTTACCGTGCCAACTACCAAGCACCGAAAGCGATATCAACCATCGCCGATACTTTGAAGGAGAGCTGCGCGAAGCCCTGCCACCGCAGTCACGTGGCGGGCCGGCAGCGGTGTGTCCAAAACGTCAGAAAACACAGTTATAGATAGTTAATGTGCCGGGGTCGCCGCCAGTTATGTGTGGAAAAAATCCTTAACCCTATTCCTGGCGGGCTCCGCCGGGACAAGAAACTGGCGGGGGGGGGGGCCGATTCGGCCCCCCCCTGAGATCTCGAGAACGAAGCAAGATAGCGACAAGCGGTAAACGGCATCGGATACGCACGGCCAAGATCTACAATTTTTACCAAGGTCATTTTCAGGTCAGGTCAAAGATGACGTCACAGGGGTCGAAAAAGTCAAAATGGCGGCGCTAGATATGGAGAGAGTTGTTCTCGAATAGCTTTCGAATTAGTCAAGTTAGGAACAAACTAAGGGCATCATCGTGATCCTCTCGTCAATCCGCATCGAATGGTATATATGTTGACCTCGAAAGGTCAAGGTCAAAGGTTGACCTCAGGTCACGTGACCTCGAGGTCATCATGTATATCATTCGATGCGTCTTGACGAGCTGAACACAATGAGACCATCCACGCGTCTGTATCTTGTTCCTGTACGGAGTTATTAGCCAAAAACCTTTGGTGACCTTTGATGACGTCACATGACCTCACAGCTGCCCAACAGCAAAACAGACCTCAAGGTAGTGAAGGTTGATCGTATATGAAGTCATGTATGGTATATGGGGCCATTCCGACCCGTTTTAGTGGTAAAAACAGGGAGTTGATTTTTCCCCCATTGACTTATAATGGGGAGGTCGCGAAATTGACCTGACCTTAGGTCACCGATATCAAAATTCCGAGATATACAAATTGCACATACTGGTACCCTAACTAAACCCTGAAGAGAAGAAATTGATCGGTCAAAAACTCTAGCTCTGGCGTGATTGCAAACTTTTCTGAGGTAGGGTCACCAAACCGCCTCTGGTGACCTGACCTGAGGTCAGATCAACTCAAAATTTTCAGACATGTTGCGTAGAAGCCTTTTAGGAAAAGTCAGAAAATTTGAGCTTCCTAGCTCAACGTGTTTGGGAGAAATAACCAAAAAACCTCAGGGGGGGGGCTCCTGAGGCCCCCCCCCGCCAGGAATAGGGTTAAATGATTATTGACCCGAAGAGTAGCATTAATTCTCCGCAAAATGTATGCAGTTAGCGAAATATTGCAAACGCTTTTTCGATTGCCCTGCCCTATCCACTCCAAGACCTATAAGATCCACTCCACCATCTCAGCCTGGTTGCACCTAAATAGAGATTAAATCTCACGCCTCCCGATGTAGCTCGCTCCCCGAGAGGCTTCCTTCCGTGATGAAGCGCTCAATTTCGGACAGCCTGCTGTGACTGTGTCCACCCAAATGATGCCCGCGCTCCGTCGCACGACCGTGTCTTAATCTCCGAGGCGACGGCCCGCTGTTTCAATATAAAAATACAGCGTTGTGCTACAAGCCCTCGCTCCACTACAGGGTATTTCTGACGCTGGATCGGGCTGATCCGTGTATTTAGCACGTAATCTGTGTTGTCTCGATTGTCGGCCGGTGTAAGCCGCCGGGCGGCTCGAGCGCCATCTCCGCTGAACTATAGCGGCCTCCGCCGTGCGCCGCCGGTCCCGCTGCTTTACGACTAAGTGGCCGCATCTTTTCGGCTCATGACGTCACTCCGTTGGGCCGTTCGATTCTCTGTGGGCGGTCACCCTGCGACCATGGTCGCATACGACCGCCGCCGAGAC